ATTCACTTCAAAAACTGAGGAAAGTCATTATAGAAAGTAACAAATGTCTTAGAATATGTCGCAAAAATAAATGCTCCAATATTAGTTAGAGCTAGCAAGGCCGAACGCTCCGTTCTTGAATTAAAAGTGCGAGCTTTGCGCCAAAGTGACGTCACTAGAGGAAACCGGAGGATTGGCGCGGCAAGAGCTACTTCAAAGGAGTGAACCAGCCCTTCTATTCTCTTTAGCCCTGTATTCGGGCACAATTTATTATACAGATATTGACCATCAAAAATAGTTTGTTTTAATTATGAAAATTCAAACGAAAGCAAGAACGTATTGGCACAGCAATTATAAACGAAAGGTAGATGGACGCGTGTGACGTCATTTCGTGAATAATCACGTGACTCCCAGTTTCGAGTGAAAACGAAAGCGTTTTTTGCTTAAAAATAACTTAATAAATAGCATTTATAGGAAAGTAATAAAATGTTTTCTGGGCGTTTTGAGTGCGTTTAAGATTTTAAAAAAATTTGGCTGTTACGGTCCATTGTGTAAATAAAATTGTATTTCTTACAACTCAAAATTGTTTCGACTATTATTAAATCAAATGAAAAATATTTATCGAAATTCACACCGAATTAATTTTGTATAAACTAAATTTATAATTGCACGAGATATGGCGAATTGTTCTCGAGATATGGCGAAGTACGCAAAGTTGTTGCTGTTTCTAATCCTTCACAATATTAGCCTCAGCTAGTATATCAAATCCACGAGTCCAATCTAGCAAAGTCGCACACCGAAATTGGTCGTAAGAAAATTTTCTCTTACGGAAAATTCCAGACAATCTAGGATGTGTTCGGACCTGTTGCTACCTGTTAGGAAGACTTGACTCTCAAATTCAAAAACGCAAAAAGTAAACTTAACATTAAGGGGTCCAAATTTTAGATCGCTCTTTTGACCATATTTCCCAGACAGCGGCTAACTGCTATATCTTGGGGGTCAGAAATCCGAATCCGTTGACAATAAGGTATGTTTTATTCAGAGAAAGCACGTTTTTGTGCCTGATTTCGTAACTTAAGATATCATCTACACTAATTAGCATATTCGAGGTCACCCCCTTGAACCGTTAAGACTGAGTACTAAAACGTGAAGTCCCGCAGTGGACTGATCGTTAAGACACGGTTCCCAGCAGATCACCGAAGTCAAGTGTCACTGGCTACGGTAAGTGTGCGGGTGGGTGACCACTTGGATCAGTCTGCGTAGGGGCCGAGGGTGTGCGGTATTGGTCCTCGTTAAACTGTGCTACCGTAAAGCGCTCGACTTCGCGTGCAGGTCGTCGGGCTACCGAAGCGGGGGTGCCATCCCCTCCGCAGAGGATCAAAATTGTGATGGCATGTCTTCGGATCATCCTCCGGGATGTTTCCCAGACCGTCGCCAATAGCGCATTGTGCAGCTCTAGTGCGACGTAAATTAACAACCTAAAACGTGAAGATCCGATCATTAGATCAAACTTTATTCAGGGTAGTCCGTTTTTTTATTTATTTATTTATTTTTTTTACGCACTGGACGTTTTTCAAGATTCTTGTCTCTAAATATTTTTACAACCTACCTATATAAAGGAATTTACTTTTTTAACTGCGGATAAGAGCTGCAAGTAAATTGAACCCAAAATATAAGATAATTTACGCACAGAAAACAAGGAAAAGCGGGTAGCAAAAAAATATATATATACATGTAACATTATTTTATTTTTATTTTATAAAATATTTTAAAAAGGTGAAAAATTATCAATGAAAAATTTTTTTTCAAGCCACACGAATCCATTGACGAAATTAAGGATTTTTGATACTGCATTAATATCGCAAATGCAAATTATATTAATAAAGTAAAGAGCAGCAAAAATAGAACGATTCGTTAACAAAATGTAATGAAGTAAAAGTACTAGACTTTGAGGAAAAAGTTAATTATAAAATGATTGTTTATCTGAAAACGTAAGTGGTTTCACTTTCTGGTCGGTTTTTTTTTTTACTTACAGTGAAACTAAAGGAATTGCTGGAAGTTTGATTAAAGTAACTTTTTGGACTGTTTTATTCCAAATATCTTATTGAGTTTATTTGCTTTTGTTGCATTACCAAAATGCGCAGAAATACATTATAAAGAGTTTAATGTAATTTTTTTAATATTTATATATCTGAAAAAAAGGTTCTGCTTTTTTTCTCAGTTTTCAGTAGTTAATGATAAATCTTTCTAATTTTCAATACATTTGAATCTTGCATTTATCTGTATACTAATAACAATATTTAATGTAATTTGAAATACATTTTTTATAATTTATTTACATTTATGCTTATAAGCTAAAGCTAATTATGAACTGAACTTCTCCAAGTAGTATTTTCAAATCAAAGGCAGACTTATATAAAATAGGACTTTTCGATTTGAAGAAAAAATCGCAAACCTTGAACATTTCTTTATGCAATAATTAAAAAATTGTCAAATTTAATTTCGTTCCGGTATCAAAATGTTAGCGAACATCTGAAGTAACTGAAGCGATTTAGATAGCAAAATTTATGCCAATTACAAAAATGGCAATCTGTTGTACATGAAAGTATTAGTTTTACAATGCAAGCTTTGAAATACAATTTTCCAAGTATTAAAAAATTTTAAACTTGCATTGTGAAAAATATTTAGATTACTGATGTATTATAATTTACTTAGAGTACTTAATACATTGCGTGTAATTGATAATAAACTAGGTTTAAGGGGAAAAAATTAGTGATTATTCAAAGTATACATATTGTTCCTTATGCACCTTTTCAATATTTAGACTATGTGTGAAGAATCAAGTAAAGAGAGTCAACTCTCTAGGGGACTCGAATCAATACTGAAGTGATGAAACATGCGCTATTGAAATCTCGCGAATCTCTATTGAAGAAAGCGGGGCTGAAAGCATCGGTTGAAATAAGAGTTTCATCAGGCAATCTAACTAGTTTTGATGTTTTCAGTCCCGCATTCCTGATTAGTGAATGTTAAAATTCCAAACTAGTTTGTTTTTACCTCTTAAATCTTAGACCCCTTAGTGTGTATCGTTTTGACTTCATTACAGAAATATTTTAAATGTATGTTAAGAGTGGTCATTGCTGAATACCCTGCATTTGATGAGCTTGGTTAAGAAACCGTATTTTCTCAACAATTTTTTTACATCAAATTTAAGTTTTTTAGTATTGTTTCCAGAAAGTTTTCCTGACCAATTAAAATAGCATTGTCATAAATCATGATTTTTAATATATCTATAATTTTGAATACATTTAATATGCCATAATTTACATGGTTTTAATATATTTATGCGCAGATAATTTGGTTCCAATGCCTTTTTATATGGGATTATTTTTGTAATGAATTTTCTTTTTCTTACATTTACCAGCCAAATTATCTGATGAAATGTATTACTACTTAATATTTAAAAATTATAAAGTAACTGAAATAGCTAATTTTTCTATTTAAGATGTTTATATTTTTAATTATTACAAACTAATCTTTAAATAAAATCTTAATTAATTTTGTGCAATTTTAGACAGGGAGGCAATTTATCAAATAGATATATTAGAGTGAATTTAGATCAGAATACATTAATTTAAAAAAAAAAAATATTCTGAATTTCTCTGGGTGGAATAAGACTTTTTTCATTATTGATATCTTTTCGACTTAATGATTTATTTAGAAACTGATTTAAATTTTTTTAAAAATGTCTTATAACCGTCGTTGAACAGCCGACCCAATTTTTGGGTTTACGACTACTAATAACAAGCTTAAGCCCGTCCCGCCCCGTAAGGGGGCATCCGGGGGCACTCCAAAAGTTCGAAGTGAGCGTAACAGTTCAATTACATGAGCAAACATATTCAAAATTTTCAAATTAGAGTTTTAACAAATAGGTGGAATATTAAATATGAAATCCAGAAAGCGGTGCTACTTAGAAATAAACTAAGGAAACAAACATTACAAAGAAAATAAACAGTAACAATCAGAAGAGATATTGATGTCGCATCTTCAGTAGGGGTGCAAAGTTAATAAAAGGAAACAATTTCACATGGAAAATATAGGATGTTTGTAACTCAGAATATAATTATGCCTGGCACAACAGTACTAAAGTTATCAAATTCCAGTAATTATTATTATTATTATTATTTTTAAACAGAAAGGACATATATATACCATATATAAAAACTTTAGGAGCACAAGTGATTAAAATTTTCAAAATGAGGAATCACATAGGGGCAGAGATTAAGCTCCAAAAAAAAACATTTTAAGAGAAAATTCAAGTAATAATCAAACCATAACATTTAAATTAATAAGCCGTGATTTAGGTGTATTTTTCTTAACAAGAGGCAGCAAAAGGACATCAGGATTCAGGGAGGTGCCTTGTTACTAAACAATTTTCTTATTTCCTCAATTCCCTTTTTTATTTTAGGGTTTGACCAATGCTGCTTTATAAACTCGTAGGTGGTTTTTGAATGAAAAAATTTCTCTCTAATGTGCTTAAAATTTGTACACTGGATTAAAATATGTTCCCAATCCTCAACAAGCTGACAGGTACTGCACAGCGACTACTAATGTTCAACTCCGTAGCCTTGCCATTTTGAACCCAATCCAAAAGACAAGGGAACTCCTGGATCAAGTATTTGGAGAAATTTGCCATCGTGGAGGACTTTTTGATGGAACTAAATCTCATTTGCGTTACATGGAGAGGAAAACCACGAGAACCTCCCGCGGTTAGCCTAACGGCAAAGGGACTTTAGCCCAGATTCGTCTACCGCTGAGGATATTTCCTGTTAGCACTGTGGTAGGTGAAAGCCGGATTCGTATCGACCTGGGATTTGAACCCGGTTCACCTCATTGGAAGGCGAAAGCTCTATCCCCTGAGCCATTGCGGCTCTTACAAATATCTAGTGATTTATCACTATTTCAATCATGATTTAAACTATGGTTATCCTGTATATTCTAAAATATTTTTTTATTTATTTTAGGAATAGCTCGTTCCCTGTTTATCCGAACAACCTGGCACTTTTCATCCACGCATTAATTGCAACAAACCGCAATCCAAGAAACTTTCATAACATAGACTTAGTAGCTCGCCTAATTGACCTGGTAAGAGGATATGAACAAACTACGCATCCATTCATATTATTGGCATTATGCAATGCAAAGTCCTTCGAACCACGCAACACTCATGTTTTGGAGTATTACTTGAGACATAACCAAAACTCTCGGAAAAGTATGGGTAAGTAATGCTTACGCAGAATTTTCGAAGTTATCTTTTTTAAAAAAAGTGATCTGTCAACAAATCTTAATTTTATTCTGAAAATAATACTATAAAAGTGTACCGGGCACAGCGGTTCGTTTCTATAGATGAATAAAACTTTCCTAAAGACTCCAAAAATTTATTAACAGAATCTTCTAGAAAATACAGCTATTTCATTCACTCAATTACAGCTCAAATCGAGAGTAGTTCATAGGCTTTGAAATCTCAAATGGTTCAATGAACTTACTAGACTCTTAAATCAGAACACTATTGCAATCATAAGAATGCCAGGCACACTCTTATTTATATAGAAAATTATCGCAGAACTCCATGAATATTGGTCCTATCGCCTTGAAAATTTCAAAAACCATCGTTTTGTCGCCAATTCAGCAAAAATGTTGCCAAACCGAGTCCTCCATAAGAAATACAATAAACGTTATTTTCTCTTTAAATTACGTCAGAATTACGAGACTTTCTCACAAAATTTCTAATTAAATTATCTAAGGGTCCGATATTTAGTCTCTTGATAAATTATTCACAATGGTACAGATATTTACAGATTCGTAACAAAATTAAGATTCCCGCAACAACCAGTTGTGAGCCAGGTGTTAAAGCTCTAAAATTTCGTGAACAACGGTATAATGGTGGCAATGTGGTTAGCATTGCGCACATTCCGCCTTTACTTTCCAGACAAACTGGTAGCTTCGTGAGCTTAATCCGCATTTGAGGATCGTGCACAAATTTTCCACGGGGATTGAGCGCTCGCATTCCAATGAGGCGAACCGGGTTCGAATCCCAGTCGGTACGAATTCTGCATCTGCCTTACACTGACCACAGTGCTGACGTAAAATATCCTCAGTGGTAGACGGATCATGGGTTAGAGTTCCCTTGCCGTCAGGCTAACATTGGGAGGTTCTCGTGGCCGCAAATGCGGTTAGTTCCATCAAAAAGTCCTCCACGAAGGCAAATTTTTCCAAATACTTGATCCAGGAGCTCCCTTGTCTTCTGGATTGGGTTCAAAATTACAAGGCTACGGGATTGTACATTAGTAGTCGTAAACCCAAAATTGGGTCGGCTGTTCAGCGACAGATGTAAAATGAAATAAAATATAAAGTGACATCTCAGTGAGGCGGGATGGCTCAGGGCATAGTGTTTGCTTTCTAATGAGGTGAATCTGGATCAAATTCCAGCAAAATCTGATCAATAAGAATTCCGCATCCGACTTGCACCGACCACAGTGCTGACTGAAATATCTTCAGTGGTAGACGGATTATGGGTTCGAGTCCCGTTGCCGTCAGGCTAACCGTGGGAGGTTCTCGTGGTCTTCCTCTTCATGTAACGCAAATGCTGGTTAGTTCCATCGGAAAAAAGTCTTCCAAGAAGGGAAAATTTCTACCAATACTTGATCCAGGAATTTTCTTGCCTTCTGGATTGGGTTCAAAATTACAAAGCTGCGGAGTTGAACATTAGTAGTTGTAAACCCAAAAATTGGGTCGGCTGTTCAACGACGGTTATAAAATAAAATAAAATGACATCTCAGTGCCATTAATCACTGAGCTATCACGAGAAGTGTCTAGATAAATTTAAAATTGTCTGTTATTCCAATTCTGAAAACCTGCGCATTCTGAATTTATATTTAAAATTTGATCTTTTTGAAAAATTTTTCCCTTGAAACATAACATGCTCCATGAGTTGTCTTGAAATTTAAAAAGTTGGAAGTCTCAAATGGGATGACTTTCCTTAAGTGTTATCTAAACAGAAAATGAATCTAATGTACAAATACAGAAAAAGACAAAGGTAAATTAATAATTAAAGCATTAAAATCAAAATGGAAAAGCGTCTAAAGCAGTTAAAACCAAATTTGCTTTATTTTAATATAGATATTCAAACAAAGCAGGAAAAAGTCATAAAAAGCAATAAAAGAAGATGTGTTTTGGCAAGACAGCACTTCTTTCCTCTAAGTGCTACTAATTAACTGTTAAAAAATAATGTGCATTAATTTTTAATGTTTGATACTTTTTTTTTTAACTAAGCAGTTTATCTTAAGTATCCAATTTGTAATTTTTTTTTTTTTTATAGTTTGAAATTGCTAAATAATTTGTGTTCGATTTGTTATCCATAAAAGGATAATCATGTAATAGTCTATAAAGATTAATGATCGGAGAAGCGATAAATATAAAAATGGTTTTGTGATACTTAGCAGGGGTCTGTCCAGACATTTTGTGAAAGGTCCGTTTTTGGTGAAATTGTGAAAAAATTACTCGACATTCTTTCAACCAGGGTCCGCTTTCATGAATTTGTGCAAATAGGGTCCGTTATTGCAAAAAGAAACTTTTTCAAGGAGTTTTTAAATTGTAAAGACATACAAGATTATGCTCAACACTGTAAAATTATAATTAACAAAAATTAAATTTTAAAAATTAAACAATTGCTGCTTCTAAATTAGAGATGCAACATACAAATATTTAGTATTTAGCCTATACTGCTGAACGCAGAATATTAATTTCGGACGAATAATGGAAGAATCGTCTGCCGAAGACAAAACTTAATTCGTTTCCAGGGCAGAAAACAGGAAAGAAGGACGTAAAGGGTTTATTCGACTTACAAAATAATGAAGATAAAAAAAAATTTGAAGGGTCCGATTAAAAGAAAATTTATTTTGTGAAGGGTCCGTTGACGGACCCAAATTTCTTCTAAACAGACCCCTGTAGATATTTGCATTTTAAATATAAAATTTACAAATGTGTGTGTAAAAATTTTCGTCCAAAATAAGTGGTTTCAGAAAGTTAAATCGGAGAATTTCTTTGAGAAAATTTTTGATACTCACATGCTAAATTATATTCACAAAATACAAGAAACTGAAATATAAAAGAGCAACATACACGATTATTTTTGTATCTGAATATTGTTGGACGCAAAACCCGAGAAATAAATTTCTTTGCACCTTTGGTATGTTAAACTTCACAGAAACGAAGAAATTGGGTTTTTATTAACGAGAAAAGTATTTAAAAACCCATATATACTTTTTACGAAAATTGTCCGCAAAAAAATGACTACTAATATATTTTAGTTCAAGGGCCACAAAGGGATGCGGCCCCCGGGCCGCCAGTTGGAAACCCCTGTTATATAACAAATATCGAATTTTTAATTTTTTTATAGCTTGTAATTGTGTTAATAGTGTTCGATTTGTTATTTATAAAAGGATAATCATGTAATAGTCTTTATAGAGTAAAAGTTAATCGGAGAAACAATAGATATGAAATTGTTTTGTGATAATTAGTACTTAGTAATATATTTCCTTTTTAAATGTCTCCTTTTTAGAGTACAAGGCATTGGCTCTCCAAGCTTATGAATGTGCTGGATCTCAAAATATAAAAATCAACGACAGTGTTGTGTTTGAAAATCGAAGATTTTTAATCAGTCAGCAATATCCCGATGGTAGCTTTGGAAATGTATATACTACAGCTCTTATTGTCCAGGTAGGTACATAAAGTAATTGTCCTTAACTAGTTTCCTTACCCAGCTTGGAAGGTTCTAGTGTCTTAAACTTGAAGCATAACTATAGTTTAAACTATACAATCTCGCTGTATTTGGTCTTTAGAACGGACCAATCACAGAACCTTTATTTATAAAGGAACCTGCAAGTTAGCGAATTTTTCCAACTTAATGAAAAATTTTAAAATAAATAATCTTAAATTTTAGCATTATCTTCACGATCATGCTGCATTGGAATAACCGTTCAAATATTTTCGATTACAAAGGGTTTTCATATTAACATTTTGTGTTATTTTTCATTTATGAAAAATGGCACAAAATATCAACCTGGCGTTGTCCACTCTATTCAAGTTCTGAGTTTACAAATGTTAAACTCCGTAGCCTTGTTTTAAACCAAATCCAGAAGACGAGGGAACTCCTGGATCAAGTATCGGAAGAAATTTTCCCCTCGTGAATTTCTTGTTGGAACTGACCCGTATTTGAGTTATATGGAGAGGGTAACCACGAAAAACTCACACGGTTAGCCTGTTTGCAAGGGGACTCTATCCCATGATTCACAGAGGATATTTTACGCCTGCACTGGTCGATGCGAGCCGGTAGTGGAATTAGAATCGACCAGCCTCCAATGGGATTCAAACCTGGGACACCTCATTTGGTGGCGAGCGTTTTATTTCCTGAGCCACCAAGGGTCTCATTCTTAATAATCAGCGTAGTAAACGCTAATTTAAGATAGGCTAACAATCATAAATATCTTACAAACTCGCAGCACTTCTAAAAATTACCTGCCAAAGAACATCAGACTTCGAAAAACTGTTTTATTCAAAAGCTATCCTGCTTTGCAATCTTTTCGACTTTGCATTAAATCAAAAGGGGGCTTTAATACCATTGACTATCACAGCTTGCTTTTAATGTACTGCCTGTATCCGCAACGAATTATTTTTAAAAAGATATTAAGTGGACAAGAACTTCTGTATACCGGTTTAAAAAAATTCGCATGTTCTACAAGAAGTTGAAACAGAATAGAGCAGAAATAAAAGCTTAAATGCTAACAGTCGTACAAAACTTTTTTTTCTCTTTTTAAATTGCTCTTGCTCTAGTAACATAATAATTTAGAGATATATTTTTATTTACGTAAGTTAAAAGTAAAGGTCTTAAAGCTATTGACTCAAAGTACTGAAAATTTATAATTGTGTATACAGGAAAATTCTAGAAGTTATTTTTTTCCAAATGTAATTTCAAAGTAGCTCTACAATGTTATGTTAGCCAAATTATATTGTATTTAAATTTAATGAAATGGCCAAAAATTAATGGTTTCACAGAGTATTTTTGAAGAAAACTATTTTGTTTGCAATATGTGACATACAAAAATTTGTCGCTGACTTGTTTTTTTCTTTTTCTGCAAGGTAGTGCATAATTTAATAGAATGACAGGGTGCATAGCGTTTTTAAAGTGCTTAAAGGTGCTTATTTTTGACTTACGGTTTTTAAAAGCCCTTAAAGGTGCTTTTTTTTATTCGGGGTCTGTAAAAAGTCCTTAATTTTCTGTCTTTTAAAGAGATTTTTTTTTCTTTGCCGTGCCGATTGTTCTTAATTACAAAAAAATGCAGAATTCTCACAATTTTCTTTGCAATATTTATCAGAATCTAGTTATTTTATGATTATGTAAAGTTTTTAAAATTGTTTTTGAAATTTATTGATTTAATGTTTATAAACTAAGAAATTTAAACGATAGAGAATACTTTTTATTAGTACACAGATCCTAATTATGACTTTTTTTTTGGAAAGTGATTAAAAAATGCATAAATAGTACTTAAAAGGTGCTTATTTTTTGTTGAAAAATCTGGCTTCTCACCCTGGAATTAAATCTTCCTTATCAGGGGTCTGTTTAGAAGAAATTTGGGTCCGTTAACCGACCCTTCACAAAATGTCTTTTCATGAAAACGAACCCTTCACGAAATATCTTTTCATGAAAGCGGACCCTTCATAAATTTTTATCTTCGTTTTCGTTTTGTTAATCGAATAAACTCTTCCCAGGGGAGTGGGGGGGAGGACAGATGTAAACTAAGTAAGTTTTGTCTTCAGCAGACGCTTCTTCCTTTATTCGTCCGAAATGAATATTCAGCGTTCAGCAGTATGCGCTAAATACCAAATATTTGTATTGTTGCATCGCTAATTTAGAAGCAGCAGTTGCTGTTTATTTTTTTAATAAAATTTTTTTATAATTTTACGGTGTCGAGCATAATCGTGTATCTCTTTAAAATTTTTAAGGACTCCTTGAAAAAGTCACAAAAGCAGGACCCTGGTTGAAAGAATGTGACTTAATGTTTGTTTTACATTCACAAATTACGAGGAATTTTTTCACAATTTTACTAAAACGGACCTTTCACAAAATGTCTGGACAGACACTTGAACAAATTTTTATAACAAGAAAAAAAACTTGGTGCGTTCGCATTTAGGAAAATTGTACGAATCGTGATGAATTCTTTACATCAGATTATTAAATAATTATCTAATTATAAATCCCTATTTATGAGTGTTCATAAAAACTTTCATTAATTATCTTTCCAGGCTTTAGCGTCTGCTCCTCATTTGTCATGGAATAAAAAAGGTGCACTGGACTATTTAAGAAAACAATCTCTCACTGAAGTCAACATGGTGTCAACTTATCTCATACAACTAGCGTTAAACGCAGAGAGGATAAAATTTATAAAAGATATTCATCCAGAATTGATAATGGGTAAGTTTTCCATTTTAAATGGTTTTCGAAGCTCTGTCGCCAAGTAAAATAAAAACTCTGTTTAAGTGTCTTACTCTTGAAGCAAAACTGGATTTGGACTATGTTATGAAGCTGGTTCGAAACGTGTATAACATGGTGCGTAGCGTTTTTAAAAAGTGCATAAAGGTGCTTTCCTCATGGATTGTTTTTAAAAAGGGCTTAGATTTTTTTTTCTTTACCATGTGCATTTTCTCTACATCAATGCAAAAGCGCGCTTTTCGCATTGTTCTATTCAACTTTTCACAATTCATTCAACCACAATCTATTTCGAAGTCCCGTCGGTCCAAAACCTATCAAAGGGCTAATAGTTTTACATGTTTGATAAAGTACTTGCGAGTCCGCATGTGCGTCTACTGAGCTGGGTTCGATGAGATTCTTGCACTCTTATGTGCAACTCTGCTGCATTTTGCAAGATATTCTTCTCAATTCCAGGCTTCATTTTCCACCCTCTCATATCAAACCTGAAGAATCTCTTTACCTTTTTATAACGGTTAATATAATCGGGTAGTTTTTTTTGCCAGAAACTAGTTATTTTATCATGATCGTGTGAAGTCTTTGAAAATTATTCTTCATTTTGTTAATGTACATAGAGCTTAATATTTTTTGAGTGCTTAAAAAGTACTTTGTGCTTATTTTTTGTTGAGAGATTTTCCTACACACTTATTGTTTGTTTCATGATTAAAATGTGTAGAAAAGCACTTTAAAAATATTTAAAGATCATGAAAATTAAAACATCATTATTTTATGTAATAATTAAAAAACTTAAATTTTTTATATATACATTTTTTGCATTTATAAATTTACTCACCTTTGCTATATATTTCTAAATGTTCATTTTTTTCATTATCTTAAGCTTTTGTAAATGTATATAATTAGTGCTTAAATTTTTTTTCAGTGCTTAAAAAGTACTTAAAAGGTACTTATTTGTTGAAAGATATGGGTACGCAGCCTGTAAGAATTAGTGCAAAGATTAAAGTAATAATTCGTAATTTTGGGTGCATATTTAGTTTAATTATATGTCTAGCTACTCAGTTTCCCAGTGTTAATTCTGTGCATTTTAGCTTCCTTATGCAACAGATGATGTATTATAATTGCAAGAGTCATTTATCATCCGATTATCCAGACTGGACTTCCGATTTTTGATACTAAGTGAATTTTATGTTTGTGGAAAAATGAAACTCTGTTGCACTTCCGCTGTTATGATTTACTAGCGAATCATAATGTCTATCATTTCGTACATGGCATGACTGACAAATTATTTTTAGTTTTTAAAAAAATTGCTTTTTAATATTTTTGTATCTCTTATCTCTATGGTAAGAGTTATTATTAATATAACAGGGTGCGTAGCGTTTTTAAAAAGTGCTTAAAGGTGTTTATTTTCAACTTTCGTAATTTAAAAGCCCTTAAAGGTGCTTTTTTCATTGGTGTTTTTAAAAAGTGCTTAAGTTTCACTTTTCAAAAATGAGATTTTTTTTTCTTTACCATGTCGATTTTTGCCACGTACAATGCAAAAGCGTTTTCACGTTCTATTCAAAGTTTTCACAATTCGTTCAACCACAATGCATTTCGGCTTTACCTTTGCAGGGGTCTGTTTAAAAGAAATTTGGGTCCGTTAACAAGATATATTCACAAGATATATTTTCATAAAAACGGACCCTACACAGAATGATTTTTCTTTTAATCGGACCCTTCACAAATTTGTTTATCTTCATTATTATTTTATTAATCGAATAAACCTTTACCAGGGCAGAAAACAAGAAAGATGGATGTAAACGAATTAAGTTTTGTCTTCGGCAGACGATTCTTCCATTATTCGTCCGAACTTAATATTATGCGTTCAGCAGTATAAGCTAAATACCAAATATTTGTATGTTGCATCTCTAATTTAGAAGCAGCAATTGTTGTTTATTTTTTAAAATTTAATTTTTTTAATTATAATTTTACAGTGTTGAGCATAATCTTGTATATCTTTACAATTTAAAATAATTGTAATTTTGCAATAATTACAATTACAATTTTGCAATAACGGACCCTATTTAAACAAATTCATAAAAGCGGACCCTGGTTGAAAGAATGTGAGTAATTTTTTCACAATTTCACGAAAAACGGACCTTTCACAAAATGTCTGGACAGACCCCTGCTAATATAATCAAGAAAAAGAGTTCTTTGTCAGAAACTACTTATTTTATCATGATCACGTAAAGTCTTTGAAAATTATTTTGTTGATGTATATAGTGCTTAAAACTGCTAAATGAGTGCTTAAAAAGTACTTAAAAGGTGCTTATTTTTTGTTATAAAATTTGGCTACACACCCTGTCTAACAAGTGAATAAAAGTCGCATTGACCACGTCAACCTTCATTTAAGAAAAGGTAACCCTACATTAAATGGAGTTAATATGTCTTATATATTAGTGAATTGGGTTGTATTTTTGTAGCTGTACACTCTGCAGCACTTCTCCACCATAATTATATCTGTGATAGACTTCGATGAACGGATACCACTTGTTGATTCATTGCTGTTTTGTGAGATGCCGGTAGGGCTGTATTTAGATCACCGTGCTCTTAAATGCTGCTCGTGAGAACTGTATTGAGTTCACGGTCGTGGTCGCTTCTGTGTTGCCATTAGCAGTCGGGTATATACAAGCCAACGTTGTGTGTGATTGAGACTGAGTAGCAACAGTGTGAGGAGGTGGTTAATATCTCAGTATCAAGTCAACTGTTCAAGGGGAACCATCCATCGAGACATGAGTTTCCGCCAAGGGAGGAGTGTTCGTATCGCGACCGGGTCACCAATGTGTGGGGAGTCGCATAGACCACGTCAACTTTAATCTATGAAAAGGTACCCCAACATAGAATCGAGTTAACATGTCTTATATGGAATTGGAATTGTATTTTTGTAGTGGTAGATACACTTCATACTTTAAAATTACTAAATATGTTTACTTTTCTATATACTTGCTTTAACTTGGCACTAAATCATTTAATTTTTTCAGAACGTGCTGAAACCAAGAAAGCTGAGAAGTTCTTTGTACAGTACAGTTTGAGAGTGGGTCGCTATCCCAATGTCCACCACACAATTACAATCAATGTCCCACCAAACTCAAATTTTTTTGAAGTCATGAAATTATCTTCTGTAAATGATCCGAAGTACAAGTAAGTTCTTTGATTTAGTACATACTTGCAGTTTATGTGTAATTTTAAACTATTTTGGCCAACATGAGAAAACTCAGCTTCTCGAGTAGTCATTTTTTTTTTTTTCCTTTTCTGCCTTATGGAAAAAATGCAAGTTTCTGAAATTATCTTTAACCCTAGATAACGGAAATATTCGTTTATTCGCAAGTTTCGAGAAATATTCGTTTGACCGCTATTTTCACGAATTTGAGATGTTTCCGCTGCTCTTACTGACCAACTCACAGCACTATGTAGTAAAATGAGGTGATGAGCTGCGATTTTCCGATCCAGCTGCATTTAGCGACTCGCTCCCCTGTCTAGCATTTTTACGTAAAAAAAAATTGAATCTTGCCATTGTTTTAGTTCAGAAGCTTTTATTATAATTGGGACCAATTAATTACAGGCAAGATAAAAAAAATCTTTAAGAAGTCATTAAAAGCAGTATATTTAAATTGTTTATTACTTAATACTCTTTGCCCCCTGATCACCCCATCTCCCCCTGGTTTAGAGCCACTGATCTGATGTTTTTTTTCCACAACCATAAATGCCTTGGAGGAAATTGAAAGCTGTATTAGCGAAATTTTGTCCCATTTATACAAAAAATATTATAATAAAATTTCAGCACCGTGCATATGCGCCGGGAACACTACGTTGGCCGTTCACCAACTATGCTACGAGGCGCATCCAGAAAGGAAGTGTTTTATTTTTTTTAAAAAAAGAACTCACACATTCAGGAACATATTTATTGGCAACCAGTACAGCAATGTTTCAGCTATTTTTCAACATAGCCACCACCAGAATTGAGACACTTGTCGTATAATGTGATCAAATTTTGTATCCCTCTGTCGTAGAACTCTGCCTCCTGTGAATGGAACCACGTGGTGAAACAGTAAACGCTGACCGTTACTGTGAAACACTGCTTGCACTCAAAACAAGAGGCTTGGCTGGTATTGTGCTCCTCCATGCAATGCTCGCCCACATACGGCTCGACTCACAGCAAGCGCTTATTCGGAATTTGACTCAGTTGTTTGATCATCCACCCTACACCCCTGATCTTGCTCCCAGCGGTTTTCACGTTTTCTTGCAACTCAAGAAATTCCTGTCCTCCGGTGAGCGTTTTGGCAACGACGAAAAGCTGAAGACGTCTGGCACACGCTGGTTTCACTCACAGGCGGCAGGGTTCTACGACAGAGGGATACAAAAGTTGATCCCACTATACGACAAGTGCCTCCATTCTGGTGATGGCTATGTTGAAAAATAGCTGAAACATTGCTGTACTGGTTGCCAATAAATATGTTCCTGAATGTGTGAGTTCTTTTTTTAAAAAAAAAAATAAAAAAATAGGGAAACTTGCTTTCTGAATGCGCCTCGTATTTTTTCTAATTTAATTGAAACTATATAATTTAAAAGATGAAACTTTTATGTATTTGATCGTCAATAGCGAAAAGAAATTTTGCTGCGCTATGTTTCTAAGTTTTGATTTTTACTTTTCAGTTTTTCCTACTACATGGATAAAAATAAAGAACCAAGCATTTATGCGATATCAGACGTACCCAACGATGCGGAAGAAAATTTATACTGGAGATTGTGCGTACAAACTGACATCAATCACGACAGGCATACCTCAACTGTCAAAACATTTACAAGATGTAAGTTTTCTGCACACAATTTATTCTTTTATACAAATCAGCCAACTCTTGACATTGTGTATTAGACAGCATACAGATAAAATGTCAATACTTGTTTGGTAATTAAGTAAATAGTTTTCAAACATAGGTTGCTCCCGAATTCGCTAAAGAAATTCAGAGGAATGGTAAAAGGCGTCTAGAGGATAAGTTTACTTTTTAGAACATGGGATTGAAATGGTAAAAAATCAACAAAACCCCATGCTGCTAATCAACAAAAAGATAATACAAACTTGATAAGTACAAAAAGATTTATTTGATTAATTATTACTAGAGTTCTTGGAAGTGGTGTCCGATGACGCCATTGCAGTCAGTCTACGACCTAGATTATTCCCGAGCGTGCTCAAAGTAACTGGCAAAGCGATGGCATTCCATACTGTGAGATTCAGTGTCCATGAAGTGTCGTATGAACTAAGATTTAAGGTGGTCACATAAAGAAGTAACAGTGATTGAGATCTGGTGAACGCAGAGGCTCATTCAACCTGTATCGTGGCTTCCTATCCACTTCCTTGGCTATGTTACATCGAANAAAACTCCTTGAAAAAGTTTTTATGCAATAACCGGACCTTATTCGCACAAATTCATAAAAGCGGACCCAGGTTGAAAGAATGCGATTAATTTTTTCACGATTTCATGAAAAACAGACCTTTCACAAAATGTCTGGACAGATACCTGGCTAATATAATCCAGAAAAGAGTTCTTTGTCAGAAACTAGTTATTTTATCATGATCACGTAAAGTCTTTAAAAATTATTTTGTTGATGTACATAGTGCTTAAAAATGCTAAATGAGTGCGTAAAAGGTACTTAAAAGGTGCTTATTTTTGTTATGAAATTTGGCTACGCACCCTGTATAACAAGTGAATAAAAGTGGAAAACATTCATCTTAGTTTAATTAATAAACAAACACAATCGCGTAATATTTTTTTAAATTTTAAGTTAATCAAATACGGTCGCTAACCTTGGCGCAGTATAGCCGCATAGATGTCTCTAGAAATTAAACTGCATGCAATTATTTGAAATTATCTATGAACAAAATGTATACTTAAAATCAGTTATCTCAGTTTGCATTGTGCTTTTTCAAACGGTTGAAATATAAAAGGAAAACTAATTCCCTGTTTCACTGATGAAGGCTGCCCTTTGAGCAACCGAAACAGCGGTCTCTATTTTATAAATATTTTTGTGCTTTTGAACGGTGTTTGCCTTGGTTTGTATTTTAGCACAAAGGTCGCCCACTTGTGTATTTAATTCCCTAAGTCTATACAAGCAGTTTTTCATACATTTTGCACAAAACTGGAGCTTTCTGAGAAAACTAGCTGAAAACTACTATTCACGTATTTGATAGTTCAACTTTAATCCGAATTTTGGTTCACTGTAATCTGGATTTCATTAATATTTAGTTTTGTCTAAATAAATAGAAAGGGGATGTATGGAAATTAATATTTGGCAAATTTAAAAGTAAAAAAAAACTGTAAATAGTGTTAAAATTGATGAGTAACATTTAAACTAAAATTTATTAAGCGTATGTTAAATTTGCTGTTTATTAACATATTTCACTTATATTTAGTTTTATATTTATAAAAATAAATTTACATTAAAAATCTATTAAATAGATAGTTTGTATGAATATAAATGAAAGCTTATTCTGTGAAGTGAAATTTTAATAATTTTTTCAGCTAGATCTAAACTTTTCATTTGATATCTAATTGACAAATTTGGTTTTTAACAAATTCATGGAGCTTGAATGACTATAACGACTTTACTCAGTAATAAATGATAGTTTTAACAATCTTAAAACATCTAGCGTTAGTTATTAAATAAGCATTTTGAATAATACATGAAAACATAACTAATCTATTTTTTTACTAACCTTCATGTGGGGGGGGGGGGAATTCACATCGACCATGTCAACCTTCATCTATGAAAAGGTAACCCATAAAGTATCGAGTTAACATGTATTATATACTAGTGAATTGGAATTGTATTTTTACAGTGGTAGACACACTGCAGAACTTCCCCACCAGAACTATATCTGTGATAGACTTTGGATACCGCTAGTTGATTCATTGCTGTTTTATGAGATGCCGGGAGAGCTGTATTTAGATCACCGTGCTCTTAAATGCTGCTCGTGAGAACTGTATTGAGTTCACGGTCGTGGTCGCTTCTGTGTTGCCATTAGCAGTCAAGTATATACAAGCCGACGTTGTGTGTGATTGAGACTGAGTAGCAACAGTGTGAGGAGGTGGTTAATATCTCAGTCACAAGTATGAAGTCAACTGTTGAAGGGGAACCATCCATCGAGACATGAGTTTCCGTCAAGGGGGGCGTGTTCACATCGCGTCCGGGTCACCAATGGGGGGGGGAGTCGCATAGACCACGTCAACTTTAATCTATGAAAAGGTACCCCAACATAGAATCGAGTTAACATGTCTTATATGGAATTGTATTTTTGTAGTGGTAGATACTTCATACTTTAAAAATTACTAAATATGTTTACTTTTCTATATACTTGCTTTAACTTGGCACTAAATCATTTAATTTTTTCAGAACGTGCTGAAACAAAGAAAGCTGAGAAGTTCTTTATACAGTACAGTTTGAGAGTGGGTCGCTATCCCAATGTCCATCATACAATCACAATCAATGTCCCACCGAACTCAAATTTTTTTGAAGTCATGAAATTATCCTCTGCAAATGACCCGAAGTACAAGTAAGTTCTTTGATTTGGTTCATACTTGCAGTTTATGTGTCATTTTAAACTATTTTGGGCCAACATTAAAAGACTCAATTTCTCAAAAGAATAGACTTTTATTTATGCCTTATGATATAGTATTTCTGCGAAATTGTCTTTGACACGTTCATAGCTGCCAACTCTACTGGATTTTCCAGTAGACTACTGGATTTTGCCAGTTTCTCCTGGTCTACTGGTTTATTTAAAACTCTCCTGGTTTTTGTACAATTTAGAAAATTCCAAAAATTGAGTAAGTTTCCTTAAAAAATCCCTTTTGAAATTAATTTTTTGTGCAGATTATTGCTTGAATAATTAAAAAGTATTACTAATACATAATGAAGTGAACTTCATTTATAGAAATCAGTCCAAAACTTTTTTTGTTCTAAAATGTTCAGTTTATTTTTACTCACAGTAATCTTTTTAAATTACTTTTAAAAAATCTTTGAACTATGTTTGGTGAATTAAATGCCTATTAATGTTCAAAATTATGAGTAAACGTAATACATAACATTTCAAGTATGTTTAATGCCAATCATAACTATAGAATATTGCAGTTTTTCTACTTTGATGACTAAGAAAATCCCTAGAATTTCCTACTTCTAAAATATTTAGTACATTATGCAACAATTATCGTGAAATTTATATTATTTCGTAAAATCTACTGGATTTTTTTCTCTCTATGTTGGCAGCTATGCACGTTGAATGCCATGGGGGTCATCGGTAACCGGTTCTGAGTTTGTTCGTAGAGCCACAGGGATCACCGGTGACCGGCGAAGCAAAGATTATTAGAAACACATAATTCGAGTAGATTTTTAATTTTATATTATCGTTACTTAAATGGTGTGAAGAAATTAATGCAATATAGAACTTACAAAAATAGTTTTATTAACTTGCTCCGCGAATCAATATTTTCAAGTGATAATTTATTAATTGTGATTCTTGGTTTAATAAATTCAGTTTAGTAGTTTTTTATCCACCACTATCTCTAAACAATTCGTAGGCATATATAATTCACGACTTTTTTTCAGATGTGTCATGCTAAACCTTCTTAAAAAAAAAAACTAGCAAAATTTGTCTAATATTTGCAAATTTAGTTTGTAATTATTTACCGTTGTGGCCAGACAGGCAAGCCATGTAAAATTAGCGTGGCATTCAACGTGTTAATAGACACGAGGCAGCCAGTTTCGCGAATTTGAGATGTTCCCGTTGCTGTTACTGACCAACTCACAGCACTATGTAGTTAAATCCGAAGGTGATAAGCTGCGATTTTCCAATCCATCGGCGTTTAACGACTCGCTCCCCTGTCTAGCATTTTTTTAAATAAGAAAAAAAACTTGAATCTTGCTATTGTTTTAGTTTGGATAAGAAATTTTAAAGGAAATAAAAGTTTGTATTATACCTGGGAGCAATTACAGACAAGATTAAAATCTCAAGTCATTAAAAGCAGTTATTTTTTATTTAAATTTATTCTTTTTAATACTCTTCACCGCATTGAGACATAATCGCCTCCTGGTTGGGAACCACTGAACTAATGTTTTCTTTTTTCCATTACCATAAATGCTTTAAATGAAATTGAGAGCTATATCAATCTAAATTTTGCCCTATTTATGCAAAAAAAAAAAAAGTTTATAATAAAATTTAATCAACTATGCTATTTTTTCTAATTTAATTGAAACTCAATTTAAAAAATGAAAATTTTTTGTATTTGATCGTCAATAGCGAAAAGAAATTTTGCACTATGTTTTTTGATTTTTACTTTTCAGTTTTTCTTACTACATGGATAAAAATAAAGAACCAAGCATCTATGCGATATCAGACGTACCCAATGATGCCGAGGAAAATTTGTACTGGCGATTATGCGTACAAACTGACATCAATCACGACAGGCATACCTCTACTGTGAAAACATTTCAAAGATGTAAGTTTTCTCTACACGATTTTATTCTTTTATACAAATCAGCCAACTCTTGACATTGTGTATTAGATATCATACAGATAAAATATCGATACTTGTTTGGTAATTAAGTAAAAAGCTTTCAAACATAGGTTGCTCCCGAATTCGTTAAAGAAATTAAGAGGAGTGGTAAAAGGCGTCTAGAGGATAAGTTTACTTTTTAGAACATAGGAATGAAATGGTAAAAAATCAACAAAACCCCATGCTGCTAATCAACAAAAAGATAATACAAACTTGATAAGTACAAAAAGATTTATTTGATTAATTATCACTAGAGTTCGTGGAAGGGGTGTCCGTCTACGACCTAGACTATTCCCGAGCGTGCTCAAAGTAACTGGCAAAGCGATGGCATTCCATACTGTGAGATTCAGTGTCCATGAAGTGCCGTATAAACTAAGATTTAAGGTGGTCACATAAAGAAGTAACTGTGATTGAGATCTGGTGAACGCAGAGGCTCATTCAACCTGTGTCGTGGCTTCCTATCCACTTCCTTGGCTATGTTATATCGAAGTGACAATACACCTGAAGGGCATTATGTGCAGCTGTACAATCATGCATGAACATGAACTTCATAGCTTATAATTTCTCTACAGAAAGTACTCCCTTCAAATTCTAAGACCATCTACTGTTATGGAAACAAACAGCACATTTTAAAGAGAGGAACTTCTTTTTCCCCTGATTCTTTCTCTCCCTAACCAGAGCCAAAACCGGTCTTAAATATTGACCTAATACCCCTTCTTGAAATAGTTAAACCTCGTAACCTTAGTCACCTCCACTGTATCTGACGAATGGCGAGGGGAGTACTTTCCATACACTAGGTATGTATGAATTCAACTTTTTCTAAACTTTAAATTTTGATGCACAAATAGTGGAGACTGAATTTGCGGTGAAAGGTTTCTCCAGCAGTATAGCGTTCTCTTAATGACTGGCTATAGATGGTTGACCGGGTAAAGTTAGGAACAAGTGGGGTTAAAATTAGACTTCCGACTTACCAGTTCTGATTTATTCTTACTACTGAGCATAAAAAAACACGCGATGCAATGTTTACAATATAACTCGTTCTACCAATTTAGTTTCAGCTTAAAATCTGTTTAATTTCAGCTGAAGATTAATTTGGAATACTCCACGAGGATTCTATGATGTTAAGCAAAGAATAAGTGATATTTTACGAAAATGTGGTCACATAAGGGATACAAACAACCTTACACTTTATGTTATCAAACTTATTTAAGGCTCATGACCTTCTAGAGTTTATATGTTACGGAAAACTCTTATGTGTTGTTAAATTATGCGTAGGTTCAATTACAAATCGCAATATAATTTCCTAGAATATAAAGTCTGTTCACATCATCCAAAGTTTTCCATACTTTTTCTCCTTTGTTATGGTGGAGAAGTAACTGTTAAGTGGCCTCCATCCACGCAATCTTAGATTTTAGATTAAATTTTTTACTTGTTTTCTTGATATTTTTCTATTAACTTATGATATAGTATAATTAGGCAGTGTAATACGTTTCAAAAAAGATAAGTCGGTTTTAATTAATTAGGCACTTGATAATTTTTAAAATTTCTATTAGTTTTTGATCAAAACTTTAAAGCAATAAAATGATGAGATTTTGTGGGTTTGAGTAAGTAATTTCAGGGATGAGATTCTTCCGCGGATTCGCGGATTTCCGCTTTTTTTCAGATTTTTCCATTTTTCCCGCTAATTTCCGCTGAAATTTTTTTTGCCCAAGTTAAAATGTTTTATGAGGAATTTAATTTTCCGCGGAGGGAAATTGTTGAAGTCCCTTTTCCTCCCTCTGAAGTTTCTCTAAAAATCATTTCCTTGGGATAAAACTGGTTGACCTTTATACAGGGATGAGATTTTTTTTGTCTCTCGAATTTCAGCCTTTTTATCAAAAACTCCGATTCTCTAAAAGTTTCGTTTTTTTAAATAAATATCCCGTTTTTTTTAAATTCAGTCATTGAAGTAAAATAATTATATTTATTTACGATTTTCAAAGATAAACAGAAAATTCAATCTACGCCCTAGCTGCTAACCCTTCCGCATTTTTACTTATTTTAGCTATTTTCTCCGATTTCACGCACAGAAAATAAGATTTTCCGTATTTTTTATCCGTCGGCTGGATAGCTCGTATTTTCGTAATTCAGATCTCGATTTTTATTCACGCGATTTTAATATCAATCATCGATTTTCGTATTTACCTGATTTAAAAGTTGCACATTGCGATTCTTATTTACGCTATTTAAATATCGTATATTATGATTCTTATTTACGACATTTAAAAATCCAATATCGTGTTTTGTATTTATGCATTTTTAAAATCTCGATTTTATTATCAAATCTCGATTTTCGTATTTACCTGATTTAAAAGTTGAACGTTGCGATTCTTATTCAGGCGATTTAAATATTGTACAGTGCGATTCTTACTTACGAGATTTAAAAAATCAATATCGCGATTTGTATTTACGAGCTTTTAAAGCCCTATGTAGCAATTCGTATTCACGTGAGCTTAAAATCCAATATCGTGATTCGTTTTTGTGGTTGTAATATCGCGCGATTTAAAAATTATGCATCGTGATCAAAAAATTAAAAAATCATGATTTGTATTTTCGCATTTTTTAAATTCGATGTAGAGTTTCATATTTACGTGATTTAAAAGTCTCATATCGGGATTTATATTCACATGGTTTACAAGTTTAAAAATCGCACTTTTTTGTCAAATTTTTGTTTATATAAATATATATATTTTTTTCCCTTCTTTTGTTTTTGTTTTTTGGATTTCCTCTTTTTTACTTTCTGACTACTCTCATCCCTGTAATTTGAAACTAAAAGTTTCTCAGTTTTTCCGATTTTTTTAAAAAATCTAATTTTATTACAGTTAAAATTGAAGAACAAATTTCCTTCAACGCTAATTTCATAAAATAAGATATTTATCAGAAATCTAAACTAATAACTATTTGCTATTTAATTATCTTTCAAGAATTGTTAATTGCACAATTGTATCATATTTTGTCAGAAAAAAATAAAATCTAAATACCTCACGCTTTATCTCAAATTTTAATTGGTTGAAGACTTCTTATTTTACATGCATCGGGAGATAGTGTCAAATAGTGTAAACGACCATCAGTTTAATTTATACCAGTTGAACAGCCGACCCGATTTCTGAACCCAATCCAGAAGACAAGGGCACTCTTAAATGGAATGTTGGGAGAAATTTGCCTTCGTGGAGGATACTTTGATGGAACTAACCAGCATTTGCTTTACATGGAGAAGAAACCATCCCAGGGTTAGCCTGACTGCAAGTGTGATAACTCATAATCCGTGTACTACTGAGTATGTGTTTATATTAGTACTGTGGTCTGTGCAAACCGGATGCGGAGGTTGTATAGACCAGGCGTCGCTGACATTCGAACTTTGTTCATCACATTGGACGGCGAACGCTCTATCCCCTGAGCTGTCGCTGCTCGTAAGTTTATTTGTGAAAATTAAATGAAAAAGATTTTATAACCGTTGTTCAATAGCCGACCCAATTTTGGGTTTTCAACTAATGTTAAACTCCGTAGCCTTGTAATTTTGGACCAATCCGGAATACTAGGAAACTCCTGTATCAGTATCCGAAGAAATATTTGGTATGTGAACATGGAGGGCTTTGACTCGATAGATTTAACGTGTATCACTCACCATTGCTTACACGGAGAGTCTTCTGGCGGGGATCGAACCCACAACCTCTTGGATATAGGCCCAGTGCCCTACCAACCAGGCTATCTAGGCCTAAAAAAAAAAAATTTTCTCCCCGCCTCCAGTTTTTCAACAGTTCAGTTCGGTCAGGAGAGAAAGGGTTAATACGTTCGCTGTACTAAGCTTCCATTGCCATTTCCTCGACTGTACATAAATTGCACTTCAGAAAATTCCTGGTTCATGAAGTCAGCCATTGCTATACGCATTGGAACAGACATCTTACTAAATGCTTAAGTAGAAGTTGAAGTAATTGTCTTTAAAATTAAACATACTCTAATGCTGAAATTTCTGTTTATTTTAGCGCCAATCCACCTGCTTCCAAAGGAAAAAGATCACGTTGTATACTGGTACATGGATATAGACTGTGAGGAAACAGTTTAGCTGTTTAATTTGTATCGTTAAGTTTTTGGTTTGTAAATATTGTCCTTGTAAAAAAATGTTATCGCTGTATTAAAATATCTAAAAGTACTTGAAATATTTTTCTGATCTTAAAATTACATTAAGATTGCAGTTAAAATCATATATTGCCTTAATCTCTTGAGACCAGAGCCTTAAATAGGGGCAGGAAAAGTGATTTTTTACTTAAATATACAGTCCCTGACCAAATTATTAGACTGATTATAAGATTCTAAGTAAAATCTTGATTATCGGGGGATACTGTACAGCATTATTCTTACTCTACCGAAACCGGTTTGTACTTGTTTACGTTCGTGTATTAATTTCTTAAATTAGAAGATTGGATAAATTAGAATATTTATTATATCTGGTATTATATTAGACACACTGTGATGGTGTTTTAATAAATACATGTTTTGCACTACTTTATATGCAATACTTTCGTATTTAAACATGTAATAGGTTTTAAGATTTTACATAGAATCTCATAGCGCGTCTAATAATTTAGTCAGGGACTGTATAACTTAGCACAAAGGAAGCTTAAAAATGTGGTAAAATATTTTTTAAAAAGTAAACTCGAATTTTTAATTCTTAAAAATTTTAATTTAGCATTTTTAACCCTTTGACGCAGAATTCTAATTAAACATAATTTTCATGAATTTGTATTGATTTAGGTAAAGTGAGAAATATTAAGCATTTTTTAATTTTTGATTATGAAATGTAAAATTGGACGCTGGTGTCTCTTTTTGCGTCGAAGGTTAAAATTTTCCAAGCAAATTTGCAGTCGACTGGATTGAAGAGAAAACAAACTCATCATTAAAATTACTTTAACTAGCTAATTAATTTCTTCAATTTGAATGGAAAAAAATTCAAACCACTTTTTGGATTTTAAATTTAGATCTAATATAATTCCGGAAATCGAAATTATTTTTTAGTGATTATTGGGCTGTTTTTATAATGAAAGAAAAATTTTTTACTTCTAATCAAAGCGTTTTTTCACGTTTTGCTCCTGAAACAAAATCCACTATGTCCCAATAACAGATGCCATAAAATCATCAACAAGATTACTTTTTTTTTCTTATGATTTTTCATTGACTAAAAACTCCTTTGAGAATATATCCAAACATAATTTTACATAGGCAATCGCATTATAAAGGCATACTAATAGAAAGGTCTTAAACAATTTAAGTTTTAAAACTGTGATAAATTTTATACAATGTATCGGACGTTCTGTCTCTATATTGGGAGATATATACAAAAAAAAACTCCTTTAAAGCTCAAATCAATGTTTAAAACGTGGACCTAACACAGCTAGAACTTTTTCTATACTAAGCCATAAACCAAAATTTTAACACAAATGTTAGCATCTTTTTCTTTTGTTAATATTTTTTTCTGATAGAATAATAAATGTGATTAGATAAAAAGTAAGCTTATGCATAATTCATTTAAATTATACTATAATAAAATTTATTTAGAATTTTTTGAAGTTCTTTGCATCATTAATGCTTCATTTTACTTAAAAAAATTTCAGAATTTCTGAGTTGATCTCACAATTACCCCTGAAATTTGTAATTTAATAACCCGTAACACTTTCACTTAAGGTCTTGTTCCATATTTAGATTTTAAATGTATTTTATTCCAAAGGAAAATTTGAAAACAAAAATCCGTCGTTTTTAACACATTAGTTTTCTCACCTCTTTTTTAAGGATTTTTTTAAAGACCACTTCAAATTAAAATATAGAACGCAATGGCAGTTTAGATACTGAGATGTTGTACTTAATTCATTTTATGGTTCACTTAAATTTGTATCTTCATTTCATAACTTTACTGTATGAAAGCAGCTGTCCTATACTTAAAGTTCATTCGAAAACTATATTTAAAAGTAAAATGTAGTTAGCAATTCAATAATGCTCTTAGAGCAATATGTGATCAATTTCACTTTTCCAAAGGTGTTATTTTTACATCACATCACTATTATAGAAGTATTTACAAGTAGATATTTCAAGTTTCGTAATTTCCTCTGGGCTACATAGGTAATTACCATGGGTCATGGTTGGTACGGTCTTTAAAAAATTTTAAAAGTGGGTTCTATTATTTTATTAACTTTCAAATTAAATTTATTAGGTACCCCTTACTTCGACTTAGTTTGAAAATCAATTATGTACGAAATGCTTACTGCAACATAGTGATGAATCGCACTTTTCTTCCTAAGGTAGATACAGTCGGTAAAAAAAGTATTGGCACGTCAATATAGTTTCAAATATTTACGCAACGAAAAGTTCTAACTTTACCGATTAAACTATATTACACTCAATTTTCAAATGAAAACTAAATCACAAAATATAAAATTCCTGTCATTGTTAACAAAATATTTACATAGAAAAAACGCATTTTATTTTACAAAAAAAATATTGGCACACTCGAATTGCATTACTACCACTACAGATAAGAAGAATAAAACCTTATATTCACTTACTGAAACCGATTCATAATTTGTACTAAGACTAGATTATTAAGTTACGTTCAGTGTTATTTTGAATTTCTCTATTCATTAAGTATGAGTCCGAAGAAGTGTGAAATTCCAGGCTCCACTCGAGAAAAGATAATATGTCTCCGTGAATTAGGAAAAAGTTATCGGGATATTGGAAAAAAGTTAAAATTGAGCTTTTCAACAGTTCGTTCCATTATTAAAAAAGTGGAAGAAACAGGATCCACGAAAAATAAACCCCGATCTGGTCGCCCAGTCAAAGTAAATGACAGGGAAAGGAGGCATGTTGTTAAAATGGCCCTAAGAAATCCAACTCAAAGTGCTCGAAATTTAGCCAACGACTTTGCGTCAACTTCTGGCAAGTCAGTGACGCCACAAACTATTAGAAATGTTCTCCATATGAGTGGTCTTCGGGGTAGGAGGCCAAGGAAGAAACCTTTTATTAGCGAGGTTAATAGGAAAAAGAGACTTGAGTTTGCTCTGACCTATCGAAGTAAGCCAATGGAGTTTTGGAAGCAAGTTATTTTTTCTGATGAGAGTAAGTTTGAAATATTTCGGCCAAAAAGCATTTTAACTGTTTGGAGGAAAAAAGGTACTGCTCTTGATCAGAAAAATATCTTGTCAACAATTAAGCATGGTGGGGGAAATGTGATGGTTTGGGGCTGTATGGCGCATAATGGGGTTGGAAATTTGGAAGTTATTAATGGTAGGATGACAGCTTTATCGTATATAGAGGTTTTGCGCCGTAACTTGAAAAGCAGTGCTAGAAAATTAGGCCTCCAAGACACCTATATATTCCAGCAAGATAATGATCCTAAACATTCCGCGAATGTAACAAGGGAATGGTTGCTTTATAATGCACCAAGAAGGCTACGCACTCCCCCCCANAAAATTCTAAATTTTTCGACTAATAAATTAAATATTTATTTTACGGAATCTTTTGCATGGAATTTTATTTGAGTGATTGAATTGTCTGCAAAATTTTTTCAATTCCTTTAAGAAGTTCTCGAGATAAGCTTGGACCGCTCTCCGGAGCAAACAACCATGGGGACCATATTTCCCAGATTGCGTCTACCCCCAATATTTTAGGGGTCAGAAATCCAAATTAGTCGGGGATGGGGGGAATGTGTTTCTTCAGATAAAGTACTTTTTGTGTCAGATTTCTTGTATTAAAATATCGTTTGCTTTAAATAGCATATTTGAGGTCACTCTCTCAAAACATAAAAATTGAGTTCTAGAACGTGAAAATCATATCATTAGGATCAAAAGTTATCAGGTGGACCCTTTTTCTTTTTACTTTGCGCACTGTACATTCGAACAATGTCAATTTAATACTATTAAGTTATAGCACCTGTAACAACGATATAGAAACGAATTTTCTTTTAATATCTTCTCAAAAAAAGACTATTTTATTAAAATTTTGTGTTTTTGACAAATAGACATCATATGACGAATTATTTGGTTTTAATTACTTTTCTTTGGGGGAAAAAAAGTTTAAGAATAATTTTTTATTCGATAAGTTTGAAAAATGGAATCTAATTTGTCTATTTTCTAAAACATGAGTTTGGAGCTGTGTTCGTTTCGTTTCCTTCTAAAACTCATTTTAAGTTACTCTAACTACTTATAAAACATATTAAACAGAATAAAAAGCCACCAACGAATTGTTAATCGCAACCTTAGTCAGAAAATGAGCGTGTTTAAAATAGGAGCATAAATAGTGAGTATTTAACATATTGAATTATTAAAAAATTTAAAAAACCTGATATAAAGAACAATTTTTAAGCTTAAAGCGTTGAAAATATTCACGGCGTTTGTTTGGGTTAATTTTAAGAATTCCAAGACTTGTTATCTGTTGGTATCACCAGATGGCACTGCAATACCAACACACCTCTCACATTTTTAGGAAACCAAAGACAAAATGACTAAAATCAGAGGATAAAAGTAAAAGATTTATTTTCCCGAAAAAGGTAGTCACAAAACTGAATGACTAACTTAAAATAAATTACAATACAAAAGTGTATAACACACTGAGTAGTAGTAAATACTTTGTGATTTCACAGAGTTTATATATGCTGGGAAAAGTGTGCGATAACAAAAATGACATCTGTATCTTGCAATCGGTTACAGCCAATTTCGGAAAGCAGAAAGAAAATCAAGATGTGCTGTATGACAGGTTGCAGGTTCGATCTAGTACTAGTATGGATATGTAATGAATGCCAAGGGGGGAAATATTTTTCTGACATAACAAGGTTTTCGAGATATCTAGGGTATACTGTATTCGAGAATTAAAACTTTTTATTCTGGATATAGTTCAATGCGTAATGAGTGTATAAGAAAATGAAAGCAGCAAAAAGTGCCTATTCCATGTTCGACTCAAATTTATAAACCAAAAGAATTTTTAACTTCATGGCTATGTCTTCAGACTTTGGGATCCAGATGGCTGGATATGTTAAAGTAGTATTTAAAAAAAATGAATTGTACTCAAAATAAAAGACGGACCACCCTGAATGACTTTTTATCTAATGATCTGATCTTCACATTCTAGGACTTAATCTTAAAGGTTTGAAAGTGTGACCTCAACTGCTAATTTAGTGCAGATGATGTTTTAAGTTACGAAATCAGGCAAAAGAAGAAGAAAAAAAAGTTATGCTTGTTCAGAGAAAGTACTTCTCTGAATAAGCATAACTTTTTTTCTCTCGGCTCATTCAGAATTTTGACCCTTTAAATATAGAAGGTAGTCGCAATCAGGGAAATAGAAAAATTATTCCACATTATCTTTGGCTTAACTAATTGTATAATTCCATGCAAATCCTAACTTTTAGTAAATATTTTTTTTATTTAAAAACCTAAAACATTATGAATTGCAAAGTATACAATTTTTACAAAGCGTAATTTTACAATACAAATTCAGAGCGAATAGGTACTGAGAAATCAAAATTGAAAAATACGGCTTCTTCAAAATTAGATTTCTCGGGAACTATCCGTGAAATTTCAACTCACATCTTGTATTTTGTCTGATAAAATTGCGTTTTTTAGTGATACAAGAAGTCGTATACCTTAAAATTCTAAATTTTTCGACTAATAAATTAAATATTTATTTAACGGAATCTTTTGCGTGGAATTTTATTTGAGTGAATGAATTGTGTGCAAAATTTTTTCCATTCGTTTAAAAAGTTCTCGAGATAAGCTAGGACCGCTCTCCGGAACAAACAACTATGGGGACCATATTTCCCAGATTGCGTCTACCCCCAATATTTTAGGGGTCAGAAATACAAATTAGTCGGGGATGTGTTTCTTCAGATAAAGTACTTTTTGTGTCAGATTTCTTATATTAAAATATCGTTTGCTTTAAATAGCACATTTGAGATCACTCTCTCAAAACATAAAAATTGAGTTCTAGAACGTGAAAATCCTATCATTAGGATCAAAAGTTATCAGGTGGACCCTTTTTCTTTTTACTTTGCGCACTGTACATTCGAACAATGTCAATTTAATACTATTAAGTTATAGCACCTGTAACAACGATATAGAAACGAATTTTCTTTTAATATCTTCTCAAAAAAAGACTATTTTATTAAAATTTTGTGTTTTTGACAAAAGACATCATATGACGAATTATTTAGTTTTAATTACTTTTCTTTGGGGAAAAAAAAGTAAAAGAATAATTTTTTATTCGATAAGTTTGAAAAATGGAATCTAATTTGTCTATTTTCTAAAACATGAGTTTGGAGCTGTGTTCGTTTCGTTTCCTTCTAAAACTCATTTTAAGTTACTCTAACTACTTATAAAACATATTAAACAGAATAAAAAGCCACCAACGAATTGTTAATCGCAACCTTAGTCAGAAAATGAGCGTGTTTAAAATAGGAGCATAAATAGTGAGTATTTAACATATTGAATTATTAAAAAATTTAAAAAACCTGATATAAAGAACAATTTTTAAGCTTAAAGCGTTGAAAATATTCACGGCGTTTGTTTGGGTTAATTTTAAGAATTCCAAGACTTGTTATCTGTTGGTATCACCAGATGGCACTGCAATACCAACACACCTGAAGAACACGCCTTTCTTTCAAACTTGACATCCAGTTATTTAAATTTCTTTGCGTGCGTGTTCATGTATATTGTTAAAAGACGCCGAATTACAGATTGTTTATAGTTTGGTTGTGAATGTTTCGAAACAGATGCTTAAATAGTAGTGCAGCTAAAAATTATTTTTTCTGTGTTTGATTATAATATACTCTGGATAACATAACAGAGACACTAGGTAAGTTTTAATCGCTTTGTTTTGTAGTAGTATTTTCACGTATCAGTTTTTCTTATATGGCATACAGGTTTTACTATCTATAATGAACGCGTATAGCCCAAGTTGTTGCTTATTAATTTATTCGATGTGAATTGTAATGACGTCAATAATTTGTGTGTGAAATAAAATATTTTTATGAATGGAAATGAATGATTGACAATTTGTCAAATATGTTTTATTTTACTAAGTTTATTAGTACTTTTCACTTATGTCTACATAAAAATTTGTTAAGATATTGCTGAAAAGAAATCTTTTTATAAATGCTAATAGCCTTCTTTTTTTTTGGGGGGGGGGGAAANTTTAAGCTTTTGAAAAAATTTATTGTGAATGAAGCCAATTTTATTTTAAAATTTTGTGATTTAAAAGAAATTACATAGTGCGTAGCGTTTTTAAAAAGTGCTTAAAGGTGCTTATTTTCGTTTTTTAAAAGCCCTTGAAGTTGCTTTTTTCATTTTTTTATTTTTATTTTAAATTGCCTAGTTTTTCCCTTTCCGAATATGAGGTTTTAATTCTTTACCATGTCGATTTTCGCCATGTGTTAGGCAAAAACATGCTTTTCACATCGTTTAATTCAACGTTTTTATAATTCAGTCAACCACAATCCATTTTGCCGTACCATTAGTCCATAGCGTATGAAAGTGCCAATCATTTTACATGTTTTACATTAATTTATCATGATCATGTAAAGTTTTTGAAAAAAATTTTGCGTTTTTTAATGTATATAGTGCTTAAAATATTTTTTGAGTGCTTAAAAGGTGCTTATTTTTTGTTGAAAGATTTGGCTACGCACCGTGAATTAGATGAAAGTAAGGCTCAGATTATGATGTCGTTTGCATTTTTTCTCATTGAGGGTATTTTTGGAATTTTTTTTTAGAATTTCTTTTATGCTAAGTATTTTTTCATGGATTTTTTTAAAAAAGTTATCTTCTATCACTATATTTTGCAACCCATTTTCCTAATTTGTAATTTTTCCAGTAGTAATATTCAATACAAAATTAAATGAAAAATTCCTCTAGTTTTAATATCCATGTGCCAATTATGTTTTTTCACATTAATAAAAGATGATTAATCTTTTTTTTTTTTTGATGTCTCATTCATTTCTACAAACAATAAAATAAAGATTATAATGTATAACAGTTGAATCTAGTAGAAACTCTTTAATTCAAATTTAGCATTAATCTTTCCAATTCTTGATGAATGAATATACTATTATATAAATATGAAATGATATGTAT